CATTTTCAGAGTTTTCTGTTGCTGTGGGCACAAGACTGATCTTGGTGATGGTCTGATGCTGTCTTTAGTGCTAATGCTGGACATTGGAAACCTGCCCGTCTCCAACTGAATAGGCTTTGTATCCTTTTTTCTAAACAGAGCATTACTGCAGCATATAGCAAACACGAAGGAAAAACTGTGGATGAGGCCAAGATTGCCTTCCTGAAAATGATACACCGCTGGCCAACATTTGGATCAGCCTTCTTTGAGGTGAAGGTAGGTTTAAAGGCCTGTATGAATGGCTTTGGTAGTAGACCAGCACTGGGGGATATGGACTGGCTATAATTCCGTATCTGTGTAAGTGAGAATGCATTGTAAAGCTGGCTTCCCATCATCTACCGAGGAAAACTCAGTTCCTTGGAAGTGGGGAGATGGTTTTTTTAATCCCTTCTGAACTATGCCTGTTATTTACTGGCTATGTTGTTGTTCCAGTTGTAATACTTAATATTACAACTATGTAGTAGATGGGGTCTTTTAGTTATATAGATACTTAACTGTCCTGTCATTGTTCTCCACTACAAAATGCTGCCAAATCTTGTATCTCTGGGAACTCCTCCCTCAGAACAGAACTGTACTAGCGCTCTCATTCTGCAGTGGATAGCTCCAGGAATCATTTCCCACTTGCTACCTTTAATTTATCCTCGCTAGGCTCTTAACTGGTTTGCAACCAACCATTAAGCCTATTATCAGATAGCATAGGAAATAACGGACCTGATTCTGCTTTTATGTAGCAGCTGCTCAAGTCATCAATATATGGCTAAAAGAGTCATCCTTAGCAATAGTTGCCTAATATTGAACAGCTTTATGTTTCAGTGTTTATTTGGTAAAGAGAACAAGCAGCACTGGACACTGTTAAAGGTCACTATGCACCTGATACAGATCATTTCTTCATTTTCTGCTTATCTTGCTCTGTTACTTGTTTATAGCAAACCTCGGAGCCAAATTTCCCAGAGATTGTGCTGATTGCAATCAACAAGCAAGGAGTCTCACTGATACATCAGAAGACAAAGGTAACAATTGCTTCTCAAGAGTCTATCTAAGGAAGGATTTAATTGACCATGCTAATTTAGGGACAGCAACAGGACCTTCTCCCTGAATGCTAGATGATACAGTCCCGCTGTTCATTTTCTGTGTGAAACCAAGAAAATGTTATTGCCTCAAATCACTTCTTTGCAGTTTCTACATTGGAAAGGAAACAGTGTAGAGCATCTCCGAAAAAAGAAGTGGTAATCATGATGGACCTGGGCAAAGTGCTAAGATTAGGCAGATAGATGGACAGTGCACTAGGGAACCTGCTTCAGAAAAATGCTTTGCAGGAAACCCAAGCTGTCTAAAAGATCAGGCCAAATGACAGTGTTTACCGGCTCTCTAACCCAAACAGTCTGGTCTTACCAAGTTCCCAGGCAAAAGCATTTATAAATATCACTATTTGCTTTTAAGAAGAAAACAAATATCCAGCGAGTTTTAGATTATTGTAAATATAATGGCAGGGTGTTAAGGCAAAGATCAATATATAATGAAAGGAAGTCTCATTAGAGTGATGAAGACTCACCTGCTTGGTGAAAATACAATATACCACTAGCCTGGATGCAAGACCTACCTTGATCCACTGTTTTTATAAATGAAGTGGGAAAGAAAAAGAATGCTCTGGCTCTACAAGTTTTCTTACGTAACAGCCCATTTTCATTTCAGAAATGTTCTATAGTTCAGTTTGTTTCCCCTTACAGGATATTTTAACAGTCTACCCCTTCAATAAAATCTCCAACTGGAGCAGTGGGAGCACATACTTTCACATGACAATAGGGAACCTGGTACGAGGAAGCCGGATCTTATGTGAGACATCTCTGGTAAGAAGTTTTGTCAACTTATACACAAGAAACTCCTAATTTTTCCTTTACATCTAGAATTGCTACAAAACAATGGTGCCAAAACAGAAGTTAAAACCAGTGCAGATACAAAAAGCATTCACTGCTATGTCAATAAAATTGCCGTTTAGAATTGGTTCAGTGCTATATAATGCCATCTGATGCAAAGACGTAAGCCACAGAGACAAGAAAAAATAGTAATTTCCCAAATTCTTCCCATACATCAAAATTCCATCTATCTGAGACATTAAGAAAAGACTGCACTTACCCACAAAACTACGTAAGAGGCTTTTTGTCTTGCATGGTTTGATCCATCTATGCAGTACTGCCATCCTTGTAAGATTTTACACTTTTCAGTGAGTGGTACCACCTTTTTAAGAATTGGTTTCAGATTGTCCACAGACTCAGACAAGCATCGCTGTATTGATATTTAAAGGTAAATTTGTAAAGATAACATAAAAACATTTAAGGGCTAACTTCTCTCACAGAAAAGCTTGGATTCCTAAGTACAAGATGTCAATCTATAGAACGAATGACAAGGAGACAGTAGAGCTATGCTCTGTAAAGTTTTGTAAATCTATGAAGGGAAGAGCAGAGGGAGGAATAGGTAAATAATTATCAAAACGGTGATAGCTGTTGGAAGCAGAGATGTCCATGCAGGGAAGAACCTAAGAAGATGATAAAACAGGGAGGAAATGATAGTTATTTTTGCTTCTGGAGCTCTCTGAGAGACTTTAAAGACTTTTTTCTTTTCTGACAGGGTTACAAAATGGATGACCTGTTAACATCCTATGTACGCCTGCTAATGAATGCTGTAAACAAGCAAAAGAACCTCCCCGCCTGAGAGCGGAAATAGAACCCATGACCTATATCTGTGCCAAACTACTTGTAATTTCATCTCCCAAAAGAAATGCCATTTAAAAAATATCAATCTTAATGATCAGTCTTCTGATCACACACTGAATGAACCGTGTTGCTGAAATATTACCGCAAGAGAAGCTCAAGTGAGCATGTGCTTTCAAGTATCCGTAACACTTGTCTGTCTCAGATGTAGTACAAGAATTCCATTCAGATTTTGGATTTAGAGAAAGTTTAGCTGGATTTTAATGTAATATGGGGGCGGAGAATCCTAATTTCATCTCCCAAAAGAAATGCCATTTAAAAAATATCAATCTTAATGATCAGTCTTCTGATCACACACTGAATGAACCGTGTTGCTGAAATATTACCGCAAGAGAAGCTCAAGTGAGCATGTGCTTTCAAGTATCCGTAACACTTGTCTGTCTCAGATGTAGTACAAGAATTCCATTCAGATTTTGGATTTAGAGAAAGTTTAGCTGGATTTTAATGTAATATGGGGGCGGAGGAATCCTAATATGACAGCCTCTTCTGATACTCTAAATCTCCATTCTTAAAGAGGGACACAAATTAACAGTTGTCTTCCTTTGTAAAGAAAATGTCCCCTTGCTGTATATGCTCTTACCAAATGCATAAACTCGTTGAGTCTTTGCAAACAAAGGTAATGTTATTTTTTTTCCTCCTACTGGAAATTCTAACAGTGGAGAAATGCCCTTTAGTAGTAGAATAACTGGACACCTTGAAAGGTAAGATGCTGGGTTTCATCCTTTTATCACTAGATTACGTGCTGCAAGTTACAGTAGACTATGACAGCCAATTACTGTCAGAATATAACTGTCATTCCTGTGTGCTGCTAAACTAGCAGGCTGTCCACTGGTTTACCATTGCCTTGGTTAAATTAAATCATTTTCTTTCTTCCACACTTTATAATGCACTTGGAAACTAACAACTGCTTTCTACTATGCAGTTTCTAGTAAGCATAAACAAACTCTGAAATGAGACTGGATTTTGGGTCCATTACTTTTACTCAGTTGCTTCTATTTCAAGTTATAGATGTGCTATTCAGTGCAAATCAGAATCGAAGAACTCGGTCTAACAGACATCTATTGAAAAGACACTTTTCTGCTCTATAAAAATGTTCTCAGCTTGGAGTTATGCAGACATTCATTCATGAGACAAGAATACTAGCTTTAATTTCTTGTGATCTTTTCTATTTCCTGTTTAGCGGGCACTTTGAGCGCTAAAATTTGATTCAGCACTTGTTCATCTCTCAGAGCTTTGTAAACACAAAACTTTGGTCCTATAGGAACCAGAGTGTGCTCAGAGTGTGTAAAGCATATATGCACTGTGGTGGTAGTAAGCCTAGATGCTTACCCCATCAGAGAACAAGTACTCCTTCCTCAATAATGAGCCCTCCCTTCCTCACAGTGAAACATGGACATGTCTTAAAGCATTTACACCAAGTTCCTTGAGACACGATCTGGCAGTGCTAGAAAAGCAGCTCTGCTAGATCTCTCAAATTTGCCAATGTATGCACAATAGTTCTCTTGTTCCCTCAGATGTGGTGTGTGAAATTCAAACGCTAATGGGAGTTTTGTACATGGGTGGCAGGGAAGAGCCTCACTCTCTTTGTGCATCTAAATGAGTGCCACACTTGTCAGAATAGTTGATCCTTTTGCATGCAATTAGATATTCCTGCGGTAATGTCCATTGCTGGCAATGGAAACATCTGAGTTTGAGTTGTCTTGTCATCCTATGTCTGATCTAACTGGCTGTAAGTGAGAAGCATTCAATACTTCACCTGTACAAAAAGAAATTTTGCAAACTGTATTGTTTCTGGTTTTAAATAAACACTGCAGAAAATCAACCACAGTGTCTTTTTAACAAGAAAATTGAATATTTGCTCTAATCCATGTAACCTAAACCTACCAAACATCCACCACAGCCTGTAAATGATCATAGCATCCCATCTACTCATCATATACACAACACAATTTGTACAGCACAGCCTCTAAAAGGATGATACCCCTTTCTGCACATCCTCATCAACCAACACATCACCATAGAAGCAGCACAGATCCAAAATGTGAATTCACAACAGCGCATCAGATTTGGGCAATCCCCAGAGTTCCTCAGAGTGCCTAATGCTCTCTGGCTCAGCATTGCAAATATAATTTTTCTTTTTTACTGTATAATATACAACTTTTTTACATTTGTTTTTTGTGTGAAGATTTAAAATGTATTACAGTTAACTTTATTACAGGAACATAAAAAGGTACAGTGTTACAAGATTTCAATCCACAATCACATGTTTTGGTTAGACAGCAAAAGCAATGTGTGATAAAATCAGAGCTCCACACGTGCAGAATCCACACTGCTCATCAAGGCCTGAACCAAGGCAAGTAGCTGCTAATTCTTTTACTCAGTCTATACAATCCTCAGTACTTAATAGTGCTTTACAGACTCATACAATGGCATTTATTACATGTTTGGCTGCAATCTATTCCTTCACCATCCAACCACTTCTTAAAAAAGCGTCAGTCACATCATCTAATACAAAACATGCAACATCTGGAAACTCTCTGCACAGAAGGTTGAAAAACATTTGCCTACATTGCACAGACTGTAAAAATAAAGACCAGGATGACCTAGAGAGCAGATTAGGTTGCCATAAAGAAAGATTGCAAGTGATTAACATAGCCTTTGAATACAAACAAGCGTCACATACTGTGGTTTCTAAAAGCAAAACCATTTTCAAGTGTACTCAGTGAATATTAGTGATTTTAATTCAGTATGTATAAATATGAATGTAAACTATAAATGTATATAATGAGACAACAGCTTTTAGTAAGTGTAGACTTCTGAGCCAAGTTCAACCTTGCTATAAATATATACTCTCCAGTGGTGTGACACCTAGGATGAATTTGGCCAGCATGTCTATTTACAGCAATGGAAAAAAGCATGCAGCTTATTTCTGACTGAGACCTTGACTTTTTTCTAAAAAAAAAAAACAAACAAACAAACAAACCAACACAAAAACCAACCTGTCAGCCTATCAACACACTAAGGAGAATTCATAAGTCTGCATTATATTGTATGTAGTTTTAAAAATGTGGACTCGAAGTAGAGGAAGATGCATTTATTTAAACTATTTATAGTTATTTCTCTTACTCCTTCAATTCCACTGTCCCACAAAAGGTATGTCAGTAATATTCACTACTGTTACTCTGCACATTGCAGGCTATGGGCAGCAGGAGTATAAGAAAAATAATTGTGAAAAATTAATAATTTAAGAGATACTAAGAGAACATCACCCTCCACTAATATAGAGATCAGGGATTATGATGACTTTTTTCCCCCACTGATTTTGGTAAATGCTCTGAAGATAAGGACATAATCCAAATCCTAGAGAACTGAACAGCTTATCAAAGAGAATGATATCAACTGTCCTTTGAACACTGAAGCTTACTAGGTGTACTGAATTTCTAACATGAGACAAAGTGAGAGCACACGCTAAATCTCTACTTGCAGTACAAAAGCAATTCCATTCACCTCTACATACATGCATTTTCCATTGCTGAACTTGAGAGTGGCCACTGAAAGAGTATTACCTATTGCCTGCTAGTTACATAGTCTTTCTAAATTTACCAGTAGCTATGCAGCTGTGTGTTCCTCCAGCATCTTCCCAGGAGGCTGAAGATACACAGCTGCTCAGATTTAGCATTAGACATGGCCTGTGACTAAGATTATAGGAACAGACCTGAATGCTTTATGCTGAGAAGAATCTGCGTAACATACTGAACTGCACCTAGATCAGTAGTTCTTGTGTTTTATGCTGTGAAAAAAATGCCAAAGAATAGGCTTACAAGACGGGTCTTTGCAGTGGCCACATACTACTGCACCAAAAGACATGCTGCTCTTTATGCCCTTAACTAAAAGACCATTTAAAGGCTGGTGAGAGAACAGTGACTAGCCATGTGTTCTCCTAAAGCAGTGACAAAAGCAGCTACTATTACTGTAATCTACAGAGCATATTGGTCAGAAGAGGATGGAAGAGTTCTACTGTTAAAATTAGGCCTACCCCCTCATCAGCGTTACAGTGGATGCAGTATACCCCAGTTAAGTTTATGGTAACTTACAGCAACAAAAAGCAAAGCAGCTGAAGGAAATTGAATTAGCAAAGCCAGTAAGTGTCCAAGAGATGGTCTTGCACGTGGGATTCTTATCTGCACACAGTTAACCAGGATTTCCCACCACTGCTGTGATATCACTGGTGCAGTTTCATGGGTAGTAGCTACAGCAAGCGTGTTAACAGCTGTCAATGCTTTAGCTATTATCTTGTTTAGATCCGTTCTGAGCAGAGTGTTATGGCAGTGAGGACAATTTTAAGGTAGATTATTGCCCCAATCCAGTTGCTGCTCACACATACAAGAAGTGAGGAAGCTTTAACTTCTTGCTAGCTAATTCACCTGGGGCTGCAGGGTTGTGCCTAGGCCCAACTGCTGTGTTCGTTTGACCTACTAAACTAGCCACTTTTTGGAATATTTAAATCATGCAAGGGGCAGCAAGTCCTCCAGTGCCTTGCATCCTGTCCACCTCGCAAAAGGGCAGGCACAGTCTCCAACTATTCAGGGAAAGGGATTTTCAGGCTGCTCAGCTTAGTTCAGCACAAGAAACTATGGCAACACCTCCAGAGGTCTCAGAAGCTCACCGTGATTATACAACACACAGGTGGACTCAGGAACAGCACTGTTGATGGCTCACCCCTGAAGAAATATCGAGAATGTTCAAAACCAGTAAATTTCTCAGCACCTTGGGTTGTACTAGCAGAGACAGTAGGACCAGTGAAACTTCACCAGTGATAGGCAAAAATACAGAGCAGAACTATATGCTTAAGATGTACAGATTCACGTCTGAGGTCCTCTCTTTAAGTAAACTCAGGTCTTAAGAAGAAAGGTGATAGGAAACTCTTATTTGGGTGAAAATTTTACGAAAAATACTTCCTGGGTTTTTTCTGCGTAAGACCACATTTGCTACAAACTGTAAATATTAGAAACCCCTTCATGTAATTGGGCTTTCTGGAGCATGACCAACAAGTGTATACTCATCTTTCAAATAAAGTGAGAAGGACGGGGAAACTGAAGCACTTAAATTGGTACCATATTATCAATTTGATTTCATCATGCAAAAGAATAACCAAGGCTCCAGCCACATTGCCTCAAGAAATGTCAGCTATGCCAGTGGATAGGACATGCTTTGTGTTGACCACTAGAATCTCTAGTACCCATATAGTAGTAGAGAACAAACTGAGAAAATTATAGTGTCAGTTTCTAACAAAATCTTTCCTTTTCCATAGCCACCTCCTCCTTAAGGAGAGACCAACTATTCTGAAGAGGCTGACATGGCCTTGACAATTGAAATCTCCTTAGTACTGAACAAGGAAGAAGCAAAGCAAACTTCTTCAGCTCTCTTAACATTGGACCTAAGCCAGACAAGCGGGGAGTGCAGATGCCATAACTATTGGTTCCTGGGCTTTCCCAGTAAACCTGCAAACCAAAAGGACTGTACAGCATTTGTGTACGCTCAGTAGGAATCTGGAGAAAGACCAGAACATTTTGCATGTAGCAAAGAGTGACAGCTTTCAGAATATTTGCCTACATATTAAAAAAATTTAAAATGTTATCACCCAGGGTAAGAAGAGAGATTTTTATACTTTAACTGAAAAAGAGCAAATCACACATTTCTTCCACCCCTACACTCAACCACTGTTTCCAAATTCCTTATACTATAGAGGAATGGAGAGAGAACTACAGTTCAATTGAGGAAGGAAAGGCTGTGTACAATTCCACAAAGGCAGAATAAGTTGTTATTAGCAAATTAATAACCAGCTTGTAAACTGCTCAAGCAGAAATCATATTCCTCTTTCTGCCAGTGTTAATAGACAATTGCTTGAGAAAAGGGATAGTCAAGATGAAAGCTGCATTACCAGAAGCAAGGGAAGGTACTACTTATCTTTGGTTTCACTTGTTCTTAGTAATTGCCTCTGTAACCAACAGCTGCTGTGAGCAGCAGCTTATGACTGTAAGAGTGCAGTCAGTAGACTGACAGACCTGCTTAAGCAGAGTTTAAATCCAGAGCTTTGGGATGTGCCTTCTTGGATGCCAGCTCTGACAACTTCTTCAGGCGTTTCTTCAGCTCCAGAGGGAATTTCTCATAGCACTTCTTGCATACAGGCTTCATGTCAAACTCCACAAACTTATTCCTTTAACACAAAGAACAGCAGGCTATTAAAATGGTATTTGCAAACTATATGCTTCACTAAATCAAGTCTCCATGCATCTACGTAAATGCTGTTGTTTGTGTTCTACTGCACGTATAAAACAACTCACTTCCTCGTCTGGTCATGTAAGTACAGAGACTGGGTTCTTATGAGGGAACTACGGTCTTTAGTATTGCTAGTTAAATAAGGAGCAAGATTTTGCTATATATTTGTATGTAACAGTCTAGAATAATAATGTTGTTATCGTAGAATGGAAGTGTCACTTCAAAGGTCCGCTTTGTGATGAATGAGAGCTCCTTCATATACAAGGCCAGTGGGGCCAACTCAGCATAGTAGGATAAGGGTTTGAACCTGAGAAAGGAAAAACGTAGGATTGGTTTGTTTTCTGTCCCTCTTCTACACATTTGAGGTAACTAGCATAATGTTTTCTTTCGAAATAATCTGCACAATTGCAAATACTGTCACTGAGGGAAGCATCCAGACTAAGGAGACATGGAGGCTGCAGGTATTTCAGGACAGGCAGTTACTCAAAGTTTACAGCCTTCCCTCTGTACTGCTGAATGAGTTCTCCTCTTACCCAATCTTCTTACAGAATAGATTAATGAAGAAAAATAGATTAGAGAGGATGCTGAGTCCCAGCTCCCTTTTAGTTCTGAAATCAGTGGAATTATAAGCACCTGCTCCCACAGAGAAAAGGTATATTGCCCCTCAAGAGAGGCACTGGCTCATGGCTCCCCCAAGCTGATACCCTGCCTTAGGGGCAAATGTCTCCTATGGTCCGAAATATAAACACTGACTTACTTCAGTGTAAGCTTGATGTTGCAGGTGGAGCAGGAGAAGCAATTCACACACCAGGCCTTGTTAAGAGCTGATACCACTGCAAAAGCAAAAGCACGAAATAAGAGGAAACTGCCGGATTATTTGAATTCAGATTTGTATCCAAATTCAAATGAGGCCAGATGTGAAAAGAAACACTGGTGCCTTGCAACTGTGGGACTGCAACAGCTGCACTAACAAATGGAACAAGGACAGCAACCCAAAACAAGGAGAGAACAAATCTTACCATCTCCCTCTATCACGTGGCTGCAGTTGTAGCAAACATCTCCAAAGAGCTGCACAGCAAAAGAAATAAGAACAGGAACTCATGTTACTGACTACTCATGCTCCCCAAATTACACAGCTGGTGTCAACTTTAAATCCTAACAATCAAAGAATTCCCAGACATTGCAGTAGCCCCCAAATATACCAATTTAAATCTTCTGAATAACTTCTCATACACTTGCCAAATAGTCTATGTTCCTTTGGATCTCATACCACTAAATACTACAAAACCTTTTTTGTTGATGCCTCACACTCTACCACTGTGATGTGATCTTAAAGTCCTATACATGTGGCAATTTGGAGAAAAGAGGATTGGTAGAGTGTGATGCTTACTGTACACAAACATCTCCTGATGCTTAACTATAAACATCAAAATAAAACCTAGAGCTACTCTCAAAACAGTAACATCTCTTATGAGAGAAACAGACTAATTTATCTGACAGAAGAAAATACCAAACTCACAGCTGTTCAGTAGAGTCATACAGAAAAAACAGGTTTTGATTGGCTTTTGAAACATACTTTTCTTATGCTTTAGACAGCTCAATATTTATCTTAGGCCCATGGAAGCAAGTAATTATCAAAGAAGTCCACACAAATAGTTTTGGAGTAGAATTACATGGATTTTAAATCACAACCCATGGTCAGTGTTTTTTTCTGTCCATGGCACAAAGGAAAATCAGAATAGAATGCCTTGGGGATATTGTTCTCAGCATCACTTTTCACATCTACCAAGGAAAACTATTTTTTCTGTTAAATCTCACTAATTTCTTAATATTGCATTGCCTCTACAAATTCATGTTATGCAAAATCTGCATAGCTTTGCATATGTAAAATGCAAAAAAGCATTTGCCAGTCAGAGCAAGTACCTACAGTATAGAAGGCAGAATTTACCTGGTTATAGTGAGTTTCACAATAAGCCAGTCCTTTTTTCTCATAGTGTCGGTGCCCCAAGAATGGCTTCTCACATTTGGCACAAACAAAATGCTGTAAAAGAAAAAAAGACATTCAGTGGCAGGCAAAGCGACTTTTCCATCACCAGGGAAAAACTTGCATGGCTACAAATCATGGCTCAATATGAGACACTTAAGCATAGAATCACAGAATGGTTTCGGTTGGAAGGAGCCTTAAAGATCATCTAGTTCCATCCCCACTGCCATGGGCAGGGACACCTTCCACTGGACCAGGTTGCTCAAAGCCCCGTCCAACCTGGCCTTGACCCCTCCCAGGGAGGGGCATCCACCACCTCTCTGGGCAACCTGTTCCAGTGTCTCACCACTCTCACAGTAAAGAATTTCTTCCTAATATCTCATCTAAATCTATCCTCTTTCAGTTTAAAACTGTTACCCCTTAATGCTTTAATGAAACTCAGACAGGAAAATCTTCATGGAAGTAAAAGAGGAAATATTTAGTCTACTATAGTAATTAAGAATGGTATTAAAGATAGGTAGAAGACCTGCTGAAAGGGCAATCATCTTGTGTCTATACTGATAGACTTGTGCACTATTATCTTGCTTGTTTCAGAGAAGAGAAACAGGAACATAAAACATGGTTGGTATGAATGCACTTCAATGAGCAGCAGCATCTCTCTCAGTTCAAGCCCTACGAGGCTTAAATCACTAAAAACATAAATCACTAAAAAAACTTCAGAGCAAGCTGTGACGACTCAGCTGAAAGTTAGAGAAACAATGAGCTGAAAAGGCTTAAAAAGCAAGAATTGCACTGGCTCTGCCTACATTACAAATTCTAACACTGTTATGAACCTGTCAACTGCGGTTGGAGAGTATATATCTAAGTACATCATGGTAAATATGTACATTTATTAGTAAGTAAATGCTGTTCAGTGAACCCTATTCTGCAAGAATCTTTACAATGCAACTCAGGCATTTTAAAATTAAGGTTATCACTGTTGTGAAAGCATAGCTTGCTTAGGCAACCCTGATGACCCTGCTGTACTCATTCACTCACAGAAGGTGAAGACAATCTGAAACATAAGCAATTGTTTTTTGTCCAAAATCATATATTACAGATCACGTAAATGTCTACAGCTTCCAACTAGCACTAGTCCTCTTCCAAAATGGCTCCTGAAGTTTCAGATTCAGAGAGGCCTGACCTCAACATGCCATTGCTTTCCCAGAGCGTTGACCACTCGTCCCTCAATGGGCCTGCGGCAGGCTCCACAGATGGGGATTCCCATCTTGTCGTGGCAGGGCAGACAATACAGTTCTCCCTTCAGTTCCCGGGCCTCAGCAGTCAGCTCCTTCCTGAAAACACAAACATGTCCCTGAAGCAAGAACACCAAGTAAAGGCCTTTAATGCCTGAGACGAAGTTTTGGAAGACTAAACTTGAAAGTTAACATACTTTGGCAACATTCATGCTACAAATGCAGAGTCATTAAATTAAGCTAGTAAAATACAGTTATTGTCAACTCATTTTTCTAAAACTGCTTTCTCAGTTTGCCAGACAAGAGAACATATGTGGAATATCATGTCTTCGGCTAGATACTCTAGCAGAAATATGAGGTGCACTTACATGGAACAATACAGTGTCATCCAAAGACTCAAGCTATCTTTGAATGGGATAGCTCAGGTACAAGGACCATCCTTGTAGTGCTCAGCACTGAGCCATTTACTTTATTCTTCAGCGCTGTTACCCATTCTAGGGCAGTACTGTGCTCCAATTATACTGCCTTCATGGTAAGTAATTCAGGTCAGACAGGTATCAGCACGGTAATGGACTGTGCCAGAAGACTGAAACAAGTCACCAAGAAATCTTTTTTTTCTATCCAGGAATGCAAAGTGAAACTATTTTGAATAGCCTGGCAACAGCTATCTTTGGACAACACTATTATTGTAATCTGCACGCAGCCTTTCAGGTGAGTGCATACCAAGGAACTATTTTCATTTTCAGTATAAAATAGTGTCATTCAAGTTTAGGATAAAAGAACATTGAATGGTAAAATAAAACTAAAGTTCCTGTAGGCTTTCCAAATTTCTTTTGATTTCTTCTCACACAATTTCTGTTTGTTCAACAATGTGAAGGCAGCAAAGTTTAGGCCTTGGAAAGGACTGCACTGCTGACTGTACTGTTTGTCTCTCTCCTTTTTTGTCAGAGTTTAGAATATGAGAACATACCCACAGTGGGTGCAGTTGAAGTGATCCGGATGGTAGGAATCATTCTTAAACATAAGAGGCTGCTCATCAATTATCAAGTGGCACTTCTGACAGATGTACTTGCCCAGACCCTTAGCTTTTTCACGGTTATGGCATGGCCTGCACAGATGCCTGGTTGAACAAAGTAAAGAAAATAAAAGATTAAGAAATTCTTTCTCTTAAATCAATGTACAGTGCATGCTGTAGGATGTACTTTATGTAACAGAAGAAGTGTCTTCCAAGGTCTGACTAAACATCATTTAGTTTAGTATCCTGTCTTTCACACCAGTTGCACAGAAAAGAATATGTGGATAGAGAAGTCACAGAGTTGTATTTCCTTAGAATACTCCTCCAACATTCACTGATTTATATCCCATCAGGGATATCACCCTGTCATTCTTCTAGGTATCCTTTCCTGTTCTTCTAGATCCTTTTTGAGAGGTGGACAAGGAAAGGTGGCAACATCCTCTCTCTATTACTAACTATGGGATCCAGCAATAACAGAGGCATTACAGCACTGGGAGGGAGTTGAGAAGAGAGAATAAAAAAATATCAAACCAAAGCACATTGCTCGAATGCCTTTACCATGGCTGGATTCCTTAGTCTTCAATAGCTAAGACAAACAAGAGACCATTGAATACTAGCTCTTCTGCCTACAAATTCCTTTCACTCTTAAGTTAAAGAAAATAAAGAACTGTGCAATTTTGCAATTTTATGTGATACATGTAACTGTTCTAGAACATATTACAAGTACAGTCCTGAACAGGTAGATAAGCCAAATTTCTGGTAGAAAAGCCTGGGCAAAGGCATAAAAAACTTCTGTAAAGGCTGATGAAATCCACCAGTTTTATCCCAATATTTAGGCACTCTGAGGAGGAGCTGTTCAGTTTACTTGCCTATTACCTACCCCTCTAGCTGCAATGCTGCAGGCTGGGAAGAATTTATGATAAAACAAGAATGACAGAGGAATGACTTCTGTGGGTTTCTTTGTCACAAAACAGCCTGCATAATTCCTTTCACTGTATCACTATGTGAAACACTCGCTGAGATTTACAGGTCATTCTCAAAAGACACCGGACAAAAGGAAAAGTTCAAATGGAAAGGGTAGATTTATGGCTGAAGTAGTGGGTTCTTTGCAGGGCCCCTTCCAAAATTCTGCTGTGATGAATCACTTACCCTTAGATCTGTAAAATGGGGATAAGAATACAACACAGATGATGTTGTGAGACCTCAAACATTTATGACCCTCAGCTGGCAGGCGCCTGTCTAAGTGCTAAGTACCATTATTATTCTCTCCAAATCTGAGTCCTCCTGTCAGCAAGTGTCTCTCTCCAGGGCTGGAACTACTGTCTGCCCAGACGGAGTCCAGAAAAAGCAGACAGCACCCCATTATAAAGAAACATGCAGCTGTGCTCATCTCAGCATAAAGGCATCAATTTTATTCGGTACTGTCAAATGTAGAGTAATTATACGGGGCAGGACATAGGGACCCTGAAGCAAGTGTCCTGAAAGAGACCCCTCTCATTCAGCTGAATAAGATGCCTTCAGCCATTTGGACTGATAAACCATTATCAACCCCTCCCCACTCACAAACCCTCTCTGCCGTCCCATAGACCCTCCTCTATTGCAAGCAAAGGGAAGTGTTGGACAGGCTAAGCTGTTACCATAGCAGCCGCCCCTCTCCCTCTCCCCCTCCCCACTCCCACCATTATGGAATTATCCCATTCTGAAATGTCCTGTTGTGTCTATTAATACCAGACTTTCCCCAAACAATGCTTCTCTCCACCCTCCTAAAATAATCAGGGGACTCCAAGAAGTCTGTGTTCACGGCTGGGAGTTCAGTAGCAGCCTTCAGTAAGCACCACGAACACTGGAATATTCATACAGTATATTCATATCTATAACAGCAGCAGCAACCCCAGTGCCAAGAGCTCAGCTGGGATGAAGACTGCTCTTCAGTGCTGGGGTGTCCTCTCCCCTGCTCTGTTGTGTGACTGAGCTGATAATGTGCTATCAGAGCTAGAAGGACACTATATAGAGGGGCTGCCCTCTCCACCCTCAGGAACTCTGCCACTGTGTGCTCTTTTTGGATCATCTTGTTGTTTTCACTGTTGCTGCTTCTATTTGGTTTGCTGTCATCAGAAGGAGTTCCTTGAGATTTTCCCCAAAAGGACCCTATACTCCACCCATAGGACTTCACTGTAAAGAGGTAAGAGACAAACTTCTATTAGCAGAATAATGAAGGAGCTTTCCTAATGGCATTAGTTTTAGCTGGTGTCAGTGAGGTGGAAAGACACACACACACAGGTGGATGAATATAATGGAAATGTTTGAAACTAGGAACAGACAGCATTTTTTGAATTTCAAAGAATAATTTCCTCACTCTTCTTCACATCACTCCTCCAAAATATAAAAGTTTGCAAACTTCTGTACCTAATGTACATCCATTTGTGCCAGGAAAACTGGCAGTTGTATGGTATGTCCAGTGTGCTCTGGCACTGCTTTGATGCTCACAAGAAACAAGTATTTCAGCTGAAGGGTGGGAGGCTCAGCAGGGAGCGATTTTGAGGAGAATAATTTCAGTCAGAAGTGGACTATTTCTAATGACGAGTACTTTCAGTGAAAGATAGGAGACACTCTCATTTGACAAGACACTACAACCATAATCATAAAACCCCACAAACTAGCATAATCCCAAATCAGAAACTGCTCTAGCTGAGAGCAAGGACAGGAATTTCTGATATCCACTACAAACCCTAACATACGGTTCAAATTTATCTGCAGTGGGCATTATAACAAAAGCTCCAAATTAGCCAGGTAACTAATTACAATGAGCTAAATATTTCTTCTGCTTATTAATTGTTTCATTAATGATAGATAGAGCATCTGCTGAAAGAGTAATCAGGTTGTGTCTATACTGACAGCCTTGTGGATTGTTATCTCACTTGTTTCTGAGCAGAAGAGAAACAAGGCATAAAATATAGTCAGTGCATGCATTTCAAATGAGCAATGACATCCCCATTACAGCTCAGCCCTGGGAGGCCTGGGATAATGGCTCATTCCAGAATAGTGCTCTGTTTAGCAATATGTAAATCACTAAATATTCGCACAACACCAAGAGTGCAATCCAAGCGGAAATTATTGGACAATGAGCCAGACTCCTAAAGGAGTTTACTGTCTGTGCAGTCAAAGCCTCTTGCACCATATAGCTTAACACAAACTACACATTCTAGGTCATTTAGGAAGGTTTCTAGTTTGCTCTTAGGATTCATACAGACTAGTACCACAAACTTTCTAGGACTTCGAGTGCTTTTTTGTAAGCATAACAAACGAAAAAGAAAGAAAAAACTAAAAACTAAACACATTTATTTTAAATTGATAAAAACAGGCAAAATAAAAGTGGAACTGTAAATAACAGCAAAAGGCTTTCCACACTGTCTACAGAACACACTGTCAAAGAACTATTACTCTTGTAAAGTTGTAGCATTTTGATGGAAACATATCAATTCTAAAAATAAGCTCAACAAGAACGAAAAAGAAAGAAAAAAGAAAAAACTAAAAACTATATTTATTTATTGATAAAAACAGGCAAAATAAAAGTGGAACTGTAAATAACAGCAAAAGGCTTTCCACACTGTCTACAGAACACACTGTCAAAGAACTATTACTCTTGTAAAGTTGTAGCATTTTGATGGAAACATATCAATTCTAAAAATAAGCTCAACAATTAATTCTAGTGACGTCAGCTTTTCTCCTAACCTACTCAAGTGCTACACCACAATTTTCACATTAACAAACAGAATTGTAAAAGAAAATAAAAAACTTGATTAAAATTCCCTTCTAATTTAAAACCTAAGCAAAATTAGAAAGAGGTCCACTTCCCTTTTCTGTGATTTCTGACCAGGCAATGAAAAATACCTCCCTTCACCTTGCTCTAAAAAGTAAATTAGGTAACAGCAGCTCTTCTATGAAGGCACTCATTTGAAAAGACTGAATCTATTTCAATTTTACCATCAGTTCTAAGCCTCTCCCTTCCTGACACTGACATACTGGGCTTCTAGATAGCTCTGACATTCTCCTTTCTACTCCACCCCACAGTATTTTGCAGTGAAAGCATGTCCAGATAGAAATCAACAGCAGACTCAACGCTGCCATCAGTGAGGACAAAACTCTCAACTTTTAAATCTTGGCTATTCCAAGTCTGGCACTGACACTCAGCTGCATCCGAATCCCAAAGATCCTCCTTATGAATCAGCTCACATAGAATCATTTCAATGTATCATGCTGCTAAACCCCTAGTATTTAGCTTGTAAACAGGGAAAAAGTCTGCTTACTGCTTCGCTTCCTGAACTCATTTAAATCATTATCATTAAGACAAGAGACATCCCTGTCTGTTCCATTAGACAACCCTTGCTTCTGCCTTTTCAGCTAGTCCAAGCCAGCATTTACTGCTTTCTCAGTGGTGTCACAACCAGGTATACAGTAATACTTAGCCATCAGACCACCCGATCACTGACAGGTGTGTATATAAAGATCACCTGATGACATTTTTTGCATATGAAAAGCATATTTAAACAAAGTGCCTGACACAAAAAAAGGCTACATAGCCAGAACATCAGGTAATAGGTACCATTGTAAATTAACAGCCAGTAAAAAGGCATGGTCTCATCATATTTCTCCTTTGGTATGCAATAGAAAAATACATATTTAAACTAATTCCATCCAGGGAGGATAAGTATTTGAGCATTCAACATTACTATCGCATACAAACTTCAAAATCTTGTGTTCAAAAATACTTGCAGGTTTTACTTTGTAAGGGACAAATAAACACTAGAAACAAAAACTGCGGGCTCCTCTGCAGATCCAGGGAATTCACACGAAAACTGCAACAGGGAATTCTCCTTTTGTACATGAAAACAAGATTTCACATGTATTTTAATAGATAAAATGTCCCTTGGAAAAAAGGGCTGTACAGTCTTCCTTGCACATGCACTTCTAGTAATTCCAAGATAATAATTTGTTGCCATCTCTAGGACTACAAAGAAGCATGCAGCTGGCAGTAGACAACAAGTACCCATACACTCAAACCTAGAGTCTTTTTTGTGCCATAAATATGCAGGGAATCTAGGCAACGCACAGAGTAAGAAGGCCCCTCTGTGGCCATATGAAGCAATTTCAGTTTCTGAATTTCATTCAGCCTTCCTTCTGTTGACTTTTGTCTCTTCAACTGTGAACTAAACAGAAGTAGTCCAGCATATTAATCGCTAGCTATTGTAGTTTTCTGTCCAGCTGAAAGTGACAGCAGCCAAACAAAAGATGGTAATTACCTTGGAATTTTGTTTACATTTTCCAATATATTGGTCTGTTCTTAATCCCATTTCAGTTTCTTCATTAGCCACCAATATTTTTAGACATCTGAATAATCAGTTCTGTTGGGAAGCCGGATGCATTGCATAATGCCTTGGATCAACTGTCTAATGATATAAGATTTCAGCATATCGCATAGCTTCTGCCCGAGACTAAAAATTTTGACTAACAATGTCAGCAACCATCTTAAAATTTTAATCTCAGTAGAGGAAAATTGATGTATTTAAAGATGTATTGAATATTATGGAGAAATGGTCAATCAGTACAAAATGCAATGGTGAGCACAATGGAGGTACTGCTGCACATACTGTAACATCTCTGAGGAATCCACGAAACAGAGACAATGCTGGAAACTCAGACTGCCTGCACTTCCCTACCACCTATACCCACAGATGAGAAATGTATAAAAAGCCATGGGTAGGTGCCCAGAAAATCTTATCACTTTTTGTTGATGCTGTTCAGGACCCTGCAGACAACAGAGAGACTGGCAAAGCTAAGCTCAGTTTTACTAAGCTGTTACTTGGAAAAGGCCCTGCATAAGCTACAGTGGAGTTCAAACTTTTGAGGGAGGAAGAGAGACAGTTATGCTGGGAGAAGAAGAAAGCTGCAGGGAAGGATGACACTGACAAGTAACTGACAGCATGGGCATTACTAATAATCTTTTCTGAGTCAGTTCAGTGCTTTTTGCTGTTCAAATGAGATGCTGCTACCCATCTGAAAAGTTTCCTCCTATATTGGAACTAGATGCATTTGCCTTAAACACAGGACTTCAGACTAAAGCAATTCTCAAAGGTTTTCAGGAACCTTGCGGTTTTTCTAATAACAGCAATACCTGACCTGTCTTCCATCTCTTCTAGGAACAAGACAGATATTCTAAGCTAGGTCACCTTATGACAGATACCTGTGCTCAGAAAAGCTGACTCATTATGAGCTCTTCAGTCCTGAATCAGGCTTTCAAATTAAACATAGCAAGTACTTTCTAGCTAGACATACAGAACCCACTTCTGCTCTTCCATTAACTAGACACATAAGCATTTCACTACTCTGTTACTCAACTGATCTCAGCACAGGTTGGAGACAAGCTCATAATCAGCTAGCTAGCTCTTTATAGTGGTTCCTTCAACAGGAATTAATGATCTGGAAAACCCAGCCAAGCAGGAGGTGTTCAGAATTTTAATATAAGGGTTTAAACTCTCACTGACCTGTTGTATTAAATACCAGGATTAGCAAACAGGAGACATCGCCGATTTCCATGTGTGGTTTTTTGGATGGGTTTTTTGTGTTTGTGGGGTTTTTTTCTTCACAAAACCAGGCTCTTTTGTAATGTACTGTCTCAATTCTTTCAGGTTTTGGGGGAATTTTTTCTTCAAAACCGTGGTGAAAAATGAATGGCCCAGCAGATCCCTCAAGCCTACTCTTCAATTGCTCAAATCAATCAAATTTCTCTTTGGAAACGTCAGAGCAATGTGGCAAAGAGACATACCTCGAGAACATCCTTTTTGCCACTTTCTACTTCATGGACTTCATCCTGGCTTTTGTTGGCAATGCCCTGGCTCTTTGGCTCTTCATCCGGGACCAAAAGTCAGGCACACCTGCCAACATTTTCCTGATGCATCTTGCTGTGGCTGACCTGTCCTTTGTGCTGGTACTTCCCACCCGGCTGGTGTACCATTTTTCTGGTAATCATTGGCCATTTGGTGAGATCCCATGCAGACTCACTGGCTTCCTTTTTTACCTCAACATGTATGCCAGTATCTACTTCCTCATGTGTATCAGTGTTGACCGTTTCCTAGCCATTGTGCACCCTGTGAAGTCCATCAAGCTCCGCAGGTCCCTTTATGCCCATTTAGCATGTGCCTTTCTGTGGGTTATAGTTGGGGTTGCAATGGCACCTCTGCTGCTCAGTGTGCAGACAGTTGAGATGAAAAACACAACCGTCTGCCTGCAGCTCTACAGAGAAAAGGCATCACGTCACGCCCTTGTGTCCTTAGCAGTGGCATTCACCTTCCCATTTGTTACTACAGTGACTTGCTACTTACTAATCATCCAAAGCCTGAAGAGTGGGAACAGAGTTGAGAAACACCTGAAGGAAAAAGCTATCAAAATGATCATCATGGTCCTGATGATCTTTCTGATTTGCTTTGTACCTTATCATGTCAATCGCTACATTTACATTCTCCATTACAATGGGACCAAAACTTCCTGTGAAACACAGCGTATTCTAGCCCTCAGTAACCGCATCACTTCCTGCCTCACGAGTCTAAATGGTGCCTTTGACCCAGTCATGTATTTTTTTGTAGCTGAGAAATTCCGTGAGGCTTTGTGCAATCTGTTTTGTGTTAAAAAGACTGTCATGTTACCTCAAACATACGAGGGTAAGACAAATGAAAGCTCACTAAGTGCTAAATCTGAACTGTGAACATGACTCCTGTCAGTGCTTCGACTTAAGAACGCTCTATTCCACCAAAATCAGCTGAGAGCGCAAGTATGCAGCGAGATAGTCCACCCAGAGTCAAACTCATCCCAAGGAAGGAAGTTCTGTTGTTTTTATGGGACTGCAATTAGCAAGAACCCCTCTGACAACAGAGATCACATGTTCTTGTCTTACTGAAACTGCAAACAGAAGTACAGTTCTACTGATTTCCAAGATGCGAAACTGAGGGCTGAACACTTAGGAATAAGGAAGGAAACAAAGAGGCTATTAAATGGACATTTAAAAAACAAAACCAAACTTAATTCCCAAAGCATTCAGTAACGACTCTTCCTCTGCACAATGCATACAGCCTACTTTAAAATTTTATATTGTGTCAGCAATAGAGATCCACTCCTGAGATAGACCTGCCGGATGAAAAGACAGCATGCTTGCACATCTTGTTCAAGTCTCCAAATTCAAAGTGTTTATACATAGTAGACAGAAAATTGGTACTAAATAGTGGCAAGAAAAAAAGACCAAAATGCTGCAATGCACCCAACCTGGACTGGAATTAAGATAGGACTTACAATTTTTTTACTTCTTCTCAGCATTCAGAGCTGGAGATGAGCACTAAACTTCACACTACCTTCTCCATCTGCCCTACCTTTTCTATCTGCCCTCTGCCATTGTCTCAAAGCTGCAGACAGACGTTGGACAACATTTACTACACTTCCTCTTTTATGTAGTTCCCTGCAAAACATCAGATATCCTGATAACCCTCAAACTAAAGGGTGGAAAAGGGCTGTTTAGGAATATAGCATTCATCTTTACTACATACCGAATCATAAAAATATGAACCCAAATAGCAAAAGTGAAGAAAAGTAAGCATATGAAGAAGTGAAGTCTACTTTGTCCAGAAAAGATTCCTATCTCTGAGGTGTTTTACAATTATTTTTTTGTGATTTATCTAGCAAGACTACTCCTTCACTACTGATAAAGTAGGGATTATCTTAACTATCCTCACTGATACAAATTGCATCCAGTGGAATATGTCTGGAAACGACAGGCAAACTAGGGAAGACCAGGTACAATGAGAAGTGGGAAAAAGGACCCAAGAGTTTCCAATAATATTTACTAGAAGACTGCTTCTATGCTATAGAGATAAATATTATAGGAAATCACATGACAGGTGAATTATATTTTTTAGGTACAGCTACATACACACACATACCCCTTTTCTATGCTTTTGGGAATACGCTCCTTACTGTTTTACATTTGGTCCACAAATTATGAAATCAAACATACTTTATCTTGCTTGAACTGCTTCAAACCTGACTGCTTTCCCAAAACACCCTAGGTGCTATTACAACAGCCCATTCTAACAAGCTTAGCTGTCAAAAGAAAATCGATTATGCCCAACTCCAAAAACTAAGGCACAGAATTTGCATGCAGGATGGAAGAGGGAGTTGAGAGGACTCCCTGCTGGATAGGGTACATGTATATATCCTTTCCTTCCCTTCTTCACCATTTAGTTAGTAAGAATATAAACTCCAGGAAACTACTAGGCTTTGCTCAAGACATATGAAAGCCTGAAATTAACTATGAATTGTGCAACACTATTTGCTAACTGCTGGATTGTTTTATTTTCTTATCATGATACGCTTTTGTACAAGTTCCCTTTTACGTTTTTATTTCTTACTTCTTAATTAAATGCATTAATCAACCTTTAGGACTCATTTTTATATTTCTGTATATAAAATGAATTATTTCTGAAGGCCAGGGGAATCACGTGCTGAACAGGCTTTGCTGTAATCCTCTTGGCCTTTTGCTCTATCTTGATTTCCTGCTCAGCAGCTTACTTGATAAACAGCCTGCCCAGGATCACATAATCCCTCTTCTCACTTGCTATTCAACCTTTTGCCTGAAAACCCTTTCTTTTCCAGAACCCATCCACTAGCTACTAAAATTTGAGTTTCTGCTTTCTACATGTTTCATTGGATGAAGAGCACTGCTCTTCATTCCGTTTCCCATCTCCTAAGCAGGTTATTCCTTAAACTTCTTCCGTACCTTTTCAAGCTTTACCTCTCATTGTATGACTAACTGACCACTCTCAACATCTCACTACTGTATCAATAACATACTGATAAAACTTTCAGAGCTCCTGCTCTATCTTACCTGCCAGCATTCTTCACGAAACCCAGGTCAGCAAGTGCTACATCGCAGAGCTCACAGCGGAAACATTCTGGGTGCCAGTTATTGTTCATTGCCTTAATAACACGCCCAATAATGAACTCACCTGCAAAAGGAAAGCAACACCTTGAGACGCATGCAGAAAACAGACTTATCAAAAGTCTATTGCCCTTCATAATCCTTCCACTTTAATTCCACAAGAACTATTACAGTCTAACTTTGGAAAAAAACCCAATTATTCCCACAACCAAGATATCCCAAATCACTACTGCTATCATGCTTTGTTTCCCTCCAGAGCTCCTGCTCCTTAAAATGACCTGAACAATCCAGCCCAGGGCTGGATGTCACTGCAACGGTGGGAGGTTTGCACAGCCCTGTAGCTGTTACCCCACGGTGTTGACATGCACTGCATCTTACCACATTCCCCGCAGCAAGGAGCAAACAGCATCTGAAAGTCATGCTCACAGTACTTCCGACCTTCAAACTGTGAACAAAACAAGAGAGAGGAGCCCTCATGAATAACTGAACTACTCTTACGTCTTGATAGTTCAGCATGATTTTCCACTGAAATGACCAATTAGTCAAGGTCAGTCAAGTTTTCCAGTTCTAGCCCCCCTTCACCCATTTTTAAACTCCTAAGGACTTTTCTTAAAGAAATATCCAGATATGGCTTCAGCCTCATGGTGAATTTGCCCAACAGTTAAATTAATAGCTATGCTGCTACAAGACAGTAAAAATCTTGAAGTGTCCAAAGCCCTTTTCCTATAGTTGGCTTTAATTTCATTTTTGCTTTAGTTTTTTTCATTCATGTAATTCAGAACTACTCCTCCTACACGAGGCTAACACTCATGGCAAATTAAGAAGGCATCATGTTTAAAATAATGTGTTATTCAAAATATGTGCTCGCACGTATTCTGTAAAAATATTTCAACCTCAATTTCAGTTGCCCAATTGGAAAATTTTGGTACAAAATGTCTAAAAATAAAGACAAAAACTCACTTATGCCTAATGAAATATTAAGAAACATTTTCTATTTTCTTTTTGAAATGCCACTTACCCAAAGAGCAAGCACACAGTTTTTGTTGTTATTGATGTATAGTGAGAAGAAAAAAAAGGAAATTAAGTCAGAAGCCCCTCAAAAAAATAGCAACAAAAGTTTAGGGCTAAGAAATTAAACAGGCAAGAAAGATGGAAATTCGTATTTCTGCCAGAATTTTCACCTAATTCCTTGCATTTTAATGGAGCTATTTCTCTTCTCTTACATACAGTACGAGACCTCACCTCATAAAAAAGTCCATCTGGGAACTGACGAAAACACTGAGCACAGACAAAGCAGTTTTCATGATAGAGCTCCCCATTGCTGTTCACAATCCTCTCTGCAGGATCAAATCGAGTCTGGCAGCGTTCACATACTGCATTTGCGAGAGCATCAGACATATTACTGGAACAGACAAGAACAAGAACAGCCAATCACATGAGTGTAATCATATAATCCAAGTTTCCCCAACATCTATGAACACAACATTTCCACTGCTTTAAACTCCCTTTTACATGACAAAAAAGACCAATGAGTCAATTCAGCACTGACATCAGTCAGAAATAATGTTCTTGCAACTCACATGTGGCAGAATGAGCTCATGTAGCAGACTTACCTATTGCACACTTTTGGCTGCGTCACCAGTCTTTCACCCCATTATGTCATCCTGCTAATAGCTCATACCAATTATCCACAATTTTAAATAAACCAGTAGTTCGGAGAGCAGCAAACACAACGATCTTGACTTCTTGGGATTTCTGGTCTCAGGATGTGCACCCCTGAGGATTTTCTGATGTGTAATAAGCACTGATATGCTACTGCAGTTTCCCCTTCACTGTAGGAATGTGCTGGTTTTGATTGGGATACAGTCAATTTTTTCCATAGTAGCTGGTATGGGGCTATGTTTTGGATTTGTGCTGAAAACAGTGTTGATAACACAGGGATGTTTTAGCTACTGCTGAGCAGTGCTTACACAGAGTCAAGGCCTTCTCTGCTTCTCACACCACCCCACCAGTGAGTAGGCTGGGGGTGCACAAGAAATTGGGAGGGGACACAGCTGGGACAGCTGACCCCCCAACTCACCAAAGGGATATTCCATGCCATATGACATCATGCTCAGCATATAAAGCTGGGGGAAGAAGGAGGAAGGGGGGGACGTTCAGAGTGATGGCATTTGTCTTCCCAAGTCACTGTTACGCGTGATGGAGCCCTGCTTTCCTGGAGATGACTGAACACCTG